TCCCTGTCCAGTATCCTCCCTAAGCATTCTGCACTCACCATCATTAGAATACTTCCCATATTGTTGTTTAGCTACTTGTCTTTCCCAGTGGGCTGTGGGTTCCATAAGGACAGAAGCTTATATTATTTTATAGTTGTATTCCCAGTGTATATCAAATGCCCAGAATACAGTAGATGCTAAGTGTAATTTTTATTTATTTTTATTTTTTATTTATTTATTTTTTTAATCCTCATCCGAGGACATTTTTCCATTTTTTGTACAGACAGAGTGGGAGGGAGAGAGAGGAAGAGAGAGGGAAACATTGATGTGAAAGGGACACATCGAGTGGCTGCCACCCACACGACCAACCAGGACCGGGGACAAACTGCAACCGAGATACATGCCCTTAGCGGGAACCGAACCCGGGTCTCTCCGGACCGCAGGCTCTAACCGCTGAGCCAAACTGGCCAGGGCCAGGGCTATTTATTTTTAATAGATTTTTAGAGAGAGACCCAACTGATTTGTTGTCCCACTTATTTATGCATTATTTGGTTCATTCTTTTTTTTTTTTTTTTTTCTGTATTGATTTTAGAGCGAGAGGAAGGGAGAGGGAGAAACAGATAGAAACATTGATGAGAGAGAACATCAGTTGGCCACCTCCGGCATGCCCCCTACTGGGGATCGGGCCCACAACCTGGGCCTGTGCCCTGACTGGAAATCAAATGGCGATCTCTTGGTGCATGGGTCAACGCTCAACCACTGAGCCACACTGGCCGGGCTCTTTTTTTTTTTTTTTTAATATTTTTTCTGTATTGATTTTAGACAAAGAGGAAGGGAGAGAGAGGAGAGGCAGAAACATCAATGAGAGAGAGCATCGATTGGCTACCTCCTGCATGCACTCCACGGGGGATTTGGCCCACAACCTGGACATATGCCCTGACTGGGAATTGAACCAGTGACCTCTCGGTGCATGGGTCAATGCTCAACCACTGAGCCACACTGGCTGGGCCTTTGGTTGATTCTTGATTAAGCCCTGACTGGGGATTGAACCCACAAGCTTGGTGCAGGGATCGACTTTGAAACTTTGGCTGATCCAGCCCTGGCCGGTTTGGCTCAGCGGCTAGAGCGTCGGCCTGCGGTACAGTGAGACCCGGGTTCGGTTCCCGCTAAGGGCATGTACCTCGGTTGCAGTTTGTCCCGGCCCTGGTTGGTCGTGCGGGTGGCAACCACTCGATGTGTCCCTTCACATCGATGTTTCTCTCTCTCTCTCTTCCTCTCTCTCCCTCCCGCTCTGTCTGAACAAAAAATGCAAAAATGTCCTCGGGTGAGGATAAAAAAAAAAAGGTACAGAGAAGCCTTGGCTGATCCAGACGATGTTCTAAAAAATTGAGCTACCCGGACAGGGGTTAATATTTAATGTATACATTTAAAAAAAACCTGGCCTGGCCAGTGCGGCTCAGTGGTCGAGCATCGACCCATGCACCAAGAGGTCACCAGTTCAATTACCTGTCAGGGCACGTGCCCAGGTTGTGGGCCAAAACCCCAGTGGCGGGGGGCAGGAAGTTACCAATTGATGTTCTCTCTCATCAATGTTTCTATCTCTCCCTCTCCCTTTCTCTCTCTTTAAAATCAATAAAGAAAAACAATTTTTTTAATCTGAAAATGGAATATGTAGGCTATGCAGCAATGCATATTTGAGAATAGTGCAATGACCCAGAGTCCTTTTTGTGGAAATCAGAGACAAAAGGTGACTTTTTCAGAACAAATATCATCCTAAACTAGAGTACACTGGTGAGTGCAGTGTGGGCTAAATTTCAGTCCTTTTTGTCTCTTCAATTAGGTGTCCTTATGAAGTGAACAACCTGAGCCCATACTTTATGCAGATCTGGAAGGATCCTTTACACCAGTGGTTCTCAACTTCAGCCACATATTGGAAAAACCTAGGGAGCTTTTTGAAAATACTCATGCCCAGGCCCCATTCTCAGAGATTTGGATTTAATCAGTCCTGATGCATTGACTTACTTTTATTTTATTTATTAAAAAAATTTTTTTTCCTTTTCCCTTTATTGATTTTAGAGAGAGAGGAAGGGAGAGGGAGAGATGGAAACATCAATGAGAGAGAACATCAACTGGCAGCCTCCTGCATGCCCCCCAATGGGGATTGGGCCCACAACCTGGGCATGTGCCCTGACTGGGAATTGAACTGGTGACCTATGGGACCATGGGTCGATGCTCAATCACTGAGCCACACCAGCCAGGCGGCATTAACTTACTTTTAAAGCTCCCCAGTTATTTCAATGTGCAGTCTGGGTTGAGAATTACAACTTTGTATTTACTGTTGTGAAAATCTCAAACCCAGCTCTATTACAAATGTGTTTGCACCATATAGGCATGCACTGACAAGCTGAGGATGGGATTCGTGTCACAGCCAAAATCTAACGCAATGCCAACTGCTGGCATTTCTACATTTACTGCCAGGAACTTCTGCCTTTACCGCCCACCCACAGATGTCCAGGCAAGCCCCTGACCAGTCTCACATTGAGGAGGGAGCTAATAGGCAGCTGAACCACTACACTGGAACTGCAACTTGAGATTGCAGGACCTGGAGTTCTGAAGTAAAGTCCTTGCTCAGCACAAGCCTGGTTGTATAACCTTGAAAAAGTTACTTCACAGTTCCCCGCTTCAGTTATTTTGATTATATTGTTAAACTAATGGTATGGACTTACTTGCCAGATATATCATGAGATTTAATGAGCAAATTGTAAGTGCTCCATAAATATAAATTGTTGTGCAATTAAGTAACTTCGTGGTGTGAGATTCCACTGAAATATTTTTTTAAATGGCCCCAGTGATTCTGACACAGGTGGTTAGAAAGTTGTTTAGACAGATCTGCTCATGCAATTCTCTGTCCCTGCCTTTTCCAAGTTTTGTTTGTTCAAATCTTCTTGAGATTCTGAAACAATAACCCCTGTTCTTCTAATAAATTATTTTTTCTCTTCTATAAGCCAGCCAGTGCTGGTTTCTGTTACTTGTAAACAAAAAGAATTTAAACTAATGCAATAAATCAGTGTAGTATTTTCCAAATTGTATCCTGCAGAATGCTATGTTCTGAAACGTTAATGTTAGCCCTGGCCAGGGTAGCTCATTTGGTTCTGATATGCCAAAGTTGTGGGTTCAGTCCCTTGTCAGGGAACATGTAAGAATCAACCAATGAATGCATAAGTAGAATAACAAAAAGATGTTTCTCTCTCAAATCAATTTAATTAAAAAATTGTGTGTGTGTGTGTGTGTGTGTGTGTGTGTGTGTAGAAAAGCAAGCAAGAATTTATTGGCTGCAGCAAAAAATACACAAAGGGCAGTGAAATGAGGAAGGGCATAGAAGAAGCAACAAGAGAGCCTAGGTGGGGCTGCTTTGGCTCACTAGGAAGTCAGAGAAAAAGGGGCCTTGGAGACAGGTTCAGGGAGTTAGGCAGGGATGAACTGCCACTGCACATTGCTCCCCTGGTTGCAAGCTTTGTGGGGTCCCTTGGAGTTCAGGAGATACATACATATGAGGGAATGAGCGGGGAGGGAATGAGAGGGGGAAGGGAATGGCACGAGGGTGATCCCTGGAGGGACAGCACCTCTAAAATCAATTTTAAAAAACATTAAAAAAAGTTTATGTTTTGTACAAGAATAATTAATATACTTTAAATTTTAAATTCTCAAATAGCATTTATATTATGCCCTGCCAGTGAGGCTCAGTGCTTGAGTGTTGACCCATGCACCAAGAGGTCGCTCACTGGTTTGACTCCTGGTCAGGGCACATGCCTAGGTTGTGGGCCCAATCCCCAGTAGAGGGCATGCAGGAGGCGGCCAATCGATGTTCTATCTCATCGACGTTTCTCTCTCTCTAAAATCAATAGAGAAAAAACAAAACAAAACTATATTGTGGTGATGGAAGGAGACTCGGAGACTCTACTTGTGTTAAATACACAGGTCTGTGATGGGGCCTGAACATTTCCATTTCTAACCAGTTCCTAGATGCTGCTGGATTGTTCAATGTCCCTCAAGGCCTTTGTGTACAGGTAATAGGGTCTTGCAACAAATGATTCATTGTAATTCTAGGCAAATGATCTATTGAACTGAAAATGCTTTGCTAATGGTTTCCAAAATCACCTCAATTTTTTTGCCTAGGGGAGTTATATAACTAGTTTGTTAAAGTCTAATTTGAATGAAGAGCATACTTGGTGAAGCAAAATATAACCTAAGATATAATTCTGATTCTCTGCTATTAATAGACTTGGATTAGAAGTCAAAAAACCTTGATGCCAAATCTCAACTCCAATTTACTGAGTAACTGTAGGCAATACATAATTTCTAATTCCAGTTTTCTCAATCGGCACAAAGACAATTAGAACAAGAATAACTAGTTTATATGAAGAGTTCTAATCCCTTTTATAAATGCAAAATGGACTGATGGCTCCTTGAATTACCTTTTTCTTTTTCCTTAAATCCTCACCTGAGGAAACTTTTTTCCCATTCATTTTCAGATAGAGTAGGAGGGAAAGAGAGAGCAAGAGTGAGAAATGTTGACATGAGAGACACATCGATTGGTTGTCTCCCACAGGACCCCGACCACGACCGAGGACCGAAGTGCAACCAGGTACATGCCCTTGACCGGAATTGAACTCGTGACTCTTTGGTCCAAGGGCCGACGCTCTACCCAGTGAGCAGAACCAGCTAGGGGTCCTTGAATTATCTTTTAAGCAATTATTCATCTGTTTTCCAGGCTGCTCTTGACCTTGGATTGGGGTTTATCCTTCAAGAAACTTTTTCTGAACCTCTGACTAATATCAGACAGGGAAAAGGGCCTTTCCCTATGTTAACACCTGCCTCCCCCTTTCCCCCCATGTGGTATAGTACTTATGCTGTGCTTTATCTTCAAGTTCCCTATTGCCAAGTACCCTGTCTAATTCATTCTAGCAGTCCAGTACTGTGTCCCCCTACCCTTTCCAGATGGTAGAAGGTATCAGACACAGTTCACTAATCACAATTTATTATAATCTGTTGGCAGTACAGACATATTAATTACCAGAACTGTCTTCACAGAAGTGGGCAATATATAGCCATTCTGTGGGGAACGGTGTGCATTTAATCACCAGCGGTATCTTTTAGTTTCTTGATGGTATGCTTGTGCCGCTCTATTTCTTTCTGCAGACGCTCAATCTCCTTTGTATAATGAGTGATCTCATCTTCATGGTGTTTCTTCAAGGCTGCCAGTTGTTCTTTAGTCCGAGCCCTACAAGTAAACAATGGCTGAGTTTAATCCTAATCCGTTACCCTAAAGAGATCTCTAAGCATAACCTGCAATATCTAAGGTAAAGGATTCCCAATCCCATGGGAGTCTAGCTGGTCATCCACCTCTATTTCTTCAAGTCCAACTAGTGAAAGAATGCTCCATCTTAAGATGTTTCCATCTTTAGGAGATTACCAAAAATGACTCCGTTTTTCTGGTGCTAGTGCCTGAAATTCCATCATTCATGAGCTATTCGTTTTAGATTCCTCTTCAGAGCCGAGAACTTCAGAGAGGTGTGAGGTAAGTCCCCAATGCCTTATTAGAGGAATAACCAAGAGAACAGAATCCCTTTTTGGGGAAATGAGCGGGGAATAGACAAAGGCGTATAGTTAAAGGATAAATATCTGCAATCTATCCTAATTTATCTAGGACTTTCCTTGCCTATAGTAATACATGGCCCACTGTAAAGACCAAAAAGAAGGGGAAAAAAAGAAGGAGCCTCTTGCACAGGCAGTACTTGGCAGTACAATTTAGGTCTCAATAAGAAACAGTTCAGCCCTGGCTGGTTTGGCTCAGCAGTTAGAGCGTCTGCCTGTGGTCCAGAGAGGGGTTCGGTTCCCGCTAAGGGCGCGTGCCTCAGTTAGTTTGTCCCCGGCCTTGTTAGTAGTGTGGGTGGCGGCCACTCGATGTGTCCCTTTCACGTCGATGTTTCTCTCTCTCTATTCCTCTCTCTCCCTCCCACTCTACCTGAACAAAAAATGGAAAAATGTCCTCGGGTGAGGATAAAAAAAAGAAACAGTTCAGCCCTAACCAGGTGGTTGGAGCGTGTCCTGTACACCCAAAAGTTGCAGGTTTGATTCCTGGTCTGGGCACATGCCTAGGCTACAGGTTTGATCCCCATTCAGGTCCCACAGGGGAGGCAACTGATTGATGTTTCTCTTTCTCCCTCTACCTCTCTCTCTTAAACAAACAAAAACAAAACAAAATAACAACATATCATTGGGTGAGGATTTAAAAAAAAAGAGAGACGATTCAAATGTTGGTTCAGTCACATTTGGACATCATCTTTCCAAAATATAGGGGCCCAATTAGATGGTCTCTAAGCCGTACTTTGGCTTTCTAGTATAGCAGGTATCATGGTGATAATTCCTCTTTTTTTTTTTTTTAAGAACAGTTTATTGAATTTTAGAGAGGAAGGGAGAAGAGAGAAACATTGATGCAAGAGTGCAATTATCAATTGGCTGCCTCCTGCATGCTGCCCCCTACTGGGTATGATGCCCTCAACCCAGGCCTGTGCCCTGACCTGGAATCTAATCAGCAACCTCTTGGTGCAGGGGATGACATCCAACCAACTGAGTCTCACCGGCCAGGGCCATGGTGATAATTCTTAAGAGTGAGGATGAGAGGGCAGAAGTGAAAAGATAGGCCAAAGGAGAAGCAGAAACGAGATAAATTCTATGCTGTTCCTCAGAGAAGTCAGTAAAAGATAACTCAGGGTTGTTAAAAATGTAAATAGAGGCACAGCCCATTCCATGCTCTTGAGAGAGAGAAATCTATCCAGCTGGGCGGAGCCGGGCGAAAGTCTCCAGGAAGTGAGGAAGGGAATTTCAAACCCTGAGCACTAAGCTCTTATGACCCACTCTCTCTGGCCGAGTTGGAGACCTTTGGAGGTCTAGGAATAGCTGAGAGGGTATGAAGAGTCAGGGGATTCATCCATCGGGGGAATAGCAAAGCTAAAGCTTGTAGAGGAGAGAACAGCGTAGAAGGGTGATGTGTGGTGGCCTAAGGGGTCAAGCTCAAGAGTGTCTGCAAGTATTGGGCCATCGGATCTAGACAATGCAAAGAATCTGGGGGCGTTTAGCACGACCTGGGAAGAACTCCATGGGTGGTGATGGTAAATGGTTCTGGAAGAGTTGGGCCGTGGTTTGAGAGTCCTGGAGACGCGCAGGTGGAAATGACTTGGGTTGAGGGCCCTGGGACTATTTAGCAGGGCGCTTAGGACTGAGGGTGTAATGGGTTCTGAGACCCGGGAGTTCTGCTGGGGGTGGGGAGACCCATGGCATCGGGGAGGGGTGGGTAGGGCGACTGCAAATTTAAGAAGGCCTGGAAGGCTCTGAGAAACCTAGGGCTGGACTCCGGACCCCGTGGGCCTCACCGGAAGTATCGTTCCTCTTCAGCCTGCTCTCTTTTTCCGAAGGCCCCACCGGCCTCCCTGACTGCGCCGGCGCTATTTGACTGCGGAGAGAGACAGGACATTGGTAAAGGTGTAGAGAGGAAGACGGCATTCGCGCTCAGGGCGGGGGCAGCGGACGCTGTCGCGGACATACCCGATCGGAGCCGAAGCCTCGGGCTTGCATAGCCCTCACGCCCCTCACAAGTTGCATCCGCACCGCCAACGCCGTGACTGCCATGGTGGCCCGTGCCGCACAGCTTCAGACACAGACGGTGTAGACTCCTGTAGGAGCTATTGTCGCTGATGGCCAGGCAGCCAATCTTTTCCATGGAGAGGCGGGATGAACCCAGGAGAAGCGAATCATGAAAGGGAGGAGGCGGGGTTACTGTAGTTCTCAGCGACTCCTGAGCAGGAGGCGGGCCTAGTCTTAGCCAACCCCTAGCAAGGTCCCCGGGGCCAAAGGGTTGGAAAATAATAATGGAGGACGTTGGAGGGCAGGTCCCGGGCAAGAGAGGGTCAGAAGCCATAAGAATGAAGTGTCGTGGCCACCCGCACCCCATGATTCCAGTTCTAAATTTGTTATTATAAAACACCTAAAGGAAGCCTTCCCTTTACTGAACCACTAGCGTCAATAAGATGTTATAAGGATAGTAAGATAAAAAGATCAATAAAATGCTGATAGGTGTTGGTGCGGGGATATTTATGTCCAGGATGCTGACGTTCAGGATAACCCGACTTAGTCAGTTGGGTTGTAGGCAAAAATGTTGTGTATATACATGTATATGGTCTCTTAAGAGGTATCAATGTCCTTTTGTTGCATTGACATTTCACTCTCAAGTCTCAGCTTAAATGTCACTTCAAAGAAACCATCCCTGATCTCCTTAGTCATTCTATCATCGCTCCCTGTTTTGTTCTTTCTCTCTCTCTCTCTACACTTTTCACCTTCTGAAGTTATCAGAGCTTTGATCAAATTGGCATTGAATTCATATTTGTAAAATGAGTTAATATGTTGTCAAATGGGCTTGATAACTGGACTTTTGGCAAGGTGGTGGGGTGAAGAGAATAGCATAAGTAGGAATCTAGGGAAGACTTTGCTTTGATCTTTCTTCAACCATCCAACAAATGTGAACGAAAAAATAGTAGCCTTTGCCTACTTCATTTTCTCTCTTTGGGTCTAGTTTTTTTTTTCTCCTTTAGATGAGAAGGTTAGGCCACATTATCTTATTCATGATTATAAAACTATCTTATGTGCTTCCTATGAAATGGTAGAACTGTTTTTATTAATAATATTTTGGTTGGAAAAATGCCAGCCTGGTTTGTATGACTTAGATGGGAAAAATGCCTGCAGGGCACATTTTCAAATGTTCATTACAGAAAACTTGTAAAACACAAAAGCAGGATAGAAATAATCATTTATAAGTCCACTACCTAATGATAATAATTTGGTGTGTTTCTAGATGATCTTTAAATGCCATTCCAGTTTCAGAAACTCTATTTCTACTTCTCAGATACTGTTGTTTCTTGAGTATCTCCTAGGCTGGAGGGTGTAAACTGAGTTAGTGCAAAGGATCCATTTAGGCACTGACAGGGCTGTAATAAAAAACAAAAAGGAGAAATTGTAACATTTGAACATCGCTGATGGGAATGTAAAATGTTTCAGCTGCTCTGGAAAACAGCTTGGCAGTTGCTCAAAAAGTTAAATATAGAATTTTCATGACTCAGCAATTTCAATTTGGGTATTTGGTGTATACCCCCCAAATTGAAAATTGGTAGTCAAATACATGTACCCTCATGTCAATAAGCAGCACTATTATTATAATAGACAAAAGATGGAAACAACCCAAATGTCCATCAACTGATGAATGAATAGCAAATTCTGGTACATACATACAGAACAGTGGAATATTATTCAAACATAAAAAGTAACAAACTAAAGATACATGCAATACTTTAGATGAACCTTGAAAACGTTCTAAGTGAAAGAAGGCAGACACAATAGGTCAGATATCGTATGGCTGCATTAATATGAAATGTCCAGAATAGGTAAATCTATAGAGACAGACCACAGAGCGGTTGTCAGGGGTTGGGAAGTAAGGGAAATGGGAAGAATGGCTTAATTGGTACCAGGTATACTTTTGGGGTGGTGAAATTGTTTTGGGACTAGGAAGAGGTGGTGGTTGCAGAACACTGTGAATGTACTAAAGGTCAATTAGTTGTTCACTTTAAAATAGGTACTTGTATGTCATGTGTATTTCACCTCAATTAAAAAAAAAAGTCTGCGGTTAGCTGTGTCTGTCTGGGCTCTGAGCCCTTTAAGGGTCGCAAGAAAGGAGGCGAAGTAGAGAGGCGAGCCTGTAAGAATTACTTGAAGCAGCGCCTGCGCAGAAGAGTCACGTGGTGGCTGGGCCGGGGAAATGGCGGCTTCAGGAGAGAGCGGGGCTTCGGGCGGCGGAGGCAGCACAGAGGAGGCATTTATGACCTTCTACAGTGAGGTGAAACACGAGGGATGAGTAGTGGCACCGGGGCGACCCCGCCTGGATCTACTCTCCCAGCGGGCGAAAGCACTGGTCCTCCTGGCCTGGACCGTTGGGCGGCTCCTCCTGTCTGGCCTGCGGGGCGGCGCGGGGCTGGGGGTGTGTGTGTGCGTTTCTCCCTGATACCTGCTGGGGGATCCCCTGGGCTAGGAAAAAGGGGTCGAGGTCTAACGTCTGCGGGTAGATGGGGAGTCTGGCCAACGAAGTACCCGGGTGCGCGTAGAGTTCCCCAAGTCCGCGGAGTCGGAGCTGGCTGGGGCTGGCAGCGGCTGGCATTCCTGGGGGCGATTTAACCTCCCTGGCCCCCGTTTTCACTTTAAATGGAAACGCTCTCTACTTAGTCCTCTATAATGAATTGTATTGGTAGTTATTTCTGCTATTCGCGAATGCCAGGCACTATGCATCATGCCAGGTAGGCATTATCTCCATTTTACAGATGACAAATCTGAGGTTTAGGGAGGTGAAATAATTTGTAACAGTTTGGTATCTTGTTAGGACAGGAGTCAGTTTGGTCTGAGCCTCGTTTACTATCGCATTTCCAGCACCTACTACATATGGTTACTCAGTAATTATTTGTTGAGTAAACTAATGAATGAATAAATGAAGGAAAAACATACCATTTGGAGTCAGAGAACCTCGGATTGGATTTGTTCATGGCATTTAACTTGACTGCGATTGAATTCTTTGCTTAATGGAGTTAATGTATAAGAAAGAGTTTCATAAGCAAGAGTTTCTTTTTTTCTTTAATCCTCACCTGAGGACATTTTTCCATTTTTTTGTTCAGATAGAGTGGGAGGGAGAGGGAGGAAGAGAGAGAGAAACATCGACATGAAAGGGACACATCGAGTGGCTGCCACCCGCACGACCAACCAGGGTCGGGGACAAACTGCAACCGAGGTACGCGCCCTTAGCAGGAACCGAACCCGGGTCTCTTTAGACCTCAGGCCGATGCTCTAACTGCTGAGCCAAACCGGCCAGGGCTATAAGCAAGAGTTTCATAAGCAGAAGCATCTTGCTGGATACAGAGCTCATTAAGTTGGCATGGATTTGAGGAATGATGTTGCTCCTCACCAGGCAGCTCAGTGAAGCACCACAGTCACGGTCATTTTTATCTCTGGTATTTGTAATTGTGTGTGTTACATAGTAGTTTCTCCAAAATATTACAGTTAAAAACAGAAATTAGCACGTTTTTCATAGTCTTCCTTTTTGAAATGCCTAAATCATGTGAAACTATTCAGCAATTATAATGGAACTTGTTTCACTTACCAACTCTTAGTTTAAAATGAAAAGAAGAAAAATGCAATCCTGGTTTGTTTGACTTGGATGACAGAAAGTACCTAAAGGAGGACCTTCAGTCATCATTCATCCAATGTTTATTGAGCACCCCACATGTACTAGTGTACTGTTCATGTATGGTAGTGAACAGCAGAGAGAATAATCCTGTCTTAATTTCATAGAGCTTGCGTTCTATAGAGAAGGATAAACAGTAAACAAACAGATGTGCAGTATAATGTCAGGTAGTGATTTAAGTGCTATGAGGAAAAATAAGCCTGGGAAAGAAGATGGGGGTGGGTGGGTGGGGAAATAGCATGCTATTTTAAAGAGAGTGAAGAGGGAAGTTGCTGCTAAGGGGTGGCTTTTTATATTATTGATATTCTTTATTTATTCCTCATTTGGCCTGAGGAGTAAAGATGGTAAATAACATACCAGACATTCATTCCAACTGGCATTCCAATTCTGATAGTGGCACCAAGGATGTTTTCCTAGAACAACCTGGTGCCTGTTCTCCTTCTCATTGTCTCAGGCCAGGAATTTTTCTAACTCTTTTAGAGATAGGTAGGCAGAGTTATTTACTCTCTCCCACATACTTTTTTTTTTTTGTTACGTGCCCCTAGCAGGAACCGAACCAGGGACTCTGGTCCACAGGCCGACGCTCCAACCGCTTAGCCAAACTGGCCAGGGCCCACGTACTTTTTTAAATGCTGCTTTTAATATATATATTTCAGTATAATTGTATTTTTTCTTTTATTTATTAAAAAATTTTTTTAATCTATTGATTTTATAGAGAGGAGAGAGAGATAGAAACATCAATGAGAGAGAACACTGATTGCCACCTCCTGCATGCCCCCCACTGGGGATTTGGACAACAACCTGGGCATGTGCCCTGACTGGGAATCAAACTGGCGGCCTCTTGGTGCATGAGCCACACTAGCTGGGCATGTCTTTTTTCTTTTAAACAGTTATAAATTAAGTATGAACACACTTGAGTACATCTTCTGTCATTAAAGTGGAAACTTTTGAAGGTGGTGGATGTCACTTTGAATTCTCTTGATGGTTGCTCCTGAATCAAACTGTTAAGATTAAAATTCTTTCTTTCTTTTTTTTTTATCCTCACCTGAGGACATTTTTTCGTTAGGATAGAGTGGGAGAAAGAGGAAGAGAGAGAGAGATAAACATTGATGCGAAAGGGACACATCGAGTGGCTGCCACCCGCACAGCCAGCCAGGGCCAGGGACAAACTGCAACCGAGGTACATGCCCTTAGCGGGAATTGAACCCGGGTCTCTCTGGACCACAGGCTGACGCTCTAACCGCTGAGCCAAACTGGCCAGGGCAAGATTAAAATTCTTATTTACAAGTTGGGTAATTGGGAACAAGTCAGTTAACCTCTCCAAGTCTCAGTTTTCTTATCTGTGAAATGGGGATAATGGTAATATCTACTGTATAGGATTGTTGAGAGGAATAAACGTGTAAAGT